TTGTTTTTACATTTATGACGAAATTAGATAATTTTTTTTTTTTTTATTTTGGACATGTTTAATAGCAAATTTTTTTTTTTTTTCTCAAAATTGTCGGTTTTTTGTTTATAGCCCAAAAAATAAAAACCGCACAGGCGCTCAAATACCACCGAAAGAGCGCTCAATTTGTGGGGAAAAAAAAGGACGTAAATTTCATTTGGGTGTAGCGTTGCATGACCGCAAAATTGTCAGTTAAAGTAAAACAGCGCTGTAACGCACAAAATGGCCTGGTCAGGAAGGGGGGCAAATCCTCTGGAGGGCGAGGAGGGGGGGAATCCTCTGGAGGAGGGGGGGAATCCTCTGGAGGAGGGGGGGGGAATCCTCTGGAGGGCGAGGGGTTCGCCATTGACTTGTTGTGGAAATAAAGGGCCAAGCATTCATGTTTGAGTGTTTCTGTTGACCAATGAGGTTGGTTGTATCAATCTCGGAGGCATATAGACATCTGCTTCGGTCCAATGAAATCGCAGCTGCACTAGTATAAATCAAGCCGAAAGGAAAGCTATATCTTATGTCTTTTTGTTTTTTTCCCCCCGCAGGGCACAGCATTAAATGTGAGTACATGGCACATAAAGAGGGAGTCTTAAAGGAGGAGATGATCTTGTCCAGTGAGACTGATGACAAAACCTTCATCAGGGTGTCGGTACAGGCCCGAGTGTTGGGTAAGCGTGATACCAGTGTCTCATTCATAATTTGGCATTAATTACTTGTGATCTTCGTATTCAAGTATTTTTTCTTACTTTGAAAATGTGTGTCCATCTCTGATGCTGCAGCTGCTTTTGTTTTTTGTTTTTTTAGCATTTCCAGATAACTTGATAACAGCCAGCAGGGGAAGTGAAGCCTCAACTTCCTGCTGCTTTAAAAGTGAAAAAACACATTGCCCGGCACCCTTTAGATGTGCCTGTTGCAATTTGGAAGCTGGCCACTACATGGAGTAGACTTTTAGCTGTGTGCATATTAGTTGATAAAATTTTCATATCTGCTTCAGGAACAGTAATCTAAGCAACTAGCCAGAACCATGGGGTTTCTCAACTAGGGTTCCTCTAGAGGTTGCTAGGGGTTCCTTGAGCAGTGAGTGATTTCTGCCTCTCAGGTACGTTCCCTCTGACACCATTGATCCTTTTAGTTATCTGTAAGGGGTTAATTCTTACGGGCAGCACAATGGCTAAATGTTTAGCACTTCCACCTGGCAGTACTCGGGTCGTTGGTTCGAATCCCAACCACGGCACCACCTGCCTGGAGTTTGCATGTTCTCCCTGTGCCTGCGTGGGTTTCCTCCGTGTACTCCGGTTTCCTCCCACACTCCAAAGACATGTTGGTAGGTTAATTGGCTCTTGTCTAAAGTGGCCCTAGTATGTGTATGTATGAATGTGAGTTAGGGACCTTAGATTGTATGCCCCTTGAGGGTTAGGGACTATAAGTACCTGTAACAAATAAATCTGAATGTCCAGAAGTGTAAGGAGCATTCGTCCCACTGACCATCACACTTAATGTATCATGAGTTGTAGATAAAGTAATTTTTATCAGGGGTTCTCTCAGTCTCAGACCAGAGAGTTGTTGTTTTTTTTTTTCCATGGGTTCCTCTGTGTTGAAAAGGTTGAGAGGCTGCAGAACGGCATAGCAAAAGTCTCCACCACCCAGTAGCCAGCAGGGGGGAACATGCTCATCTAAAGGGATCCCAGGGTTGTGTTCTTTTACTGAGGCTCATCAAGCTTAGTGCATCTTAATGTGTGGCTATAAAGGAAGATATTGATAGAGCATAATAACTTCTAGATAAAGGCAATGCATACAAATGGGGGATCTCTGAAATGATTCCAAGTTTTTCGTTCCCCATATTGTCCTGTACTGAAGCTTTTGGCAGTCTTGTTGTCCTAAAATATGCCAGTCTCTTCTTGTCCTGGTTTCCACACTGCCGGAGTTGTCTCTTGGTCAGTCTTTGACATAGCTCCCCTCCCATTGCAGACCAGATAAAAGCCCATAGCAGCTGCTCCATCGGGAAGATTGGATAAGAGTCAATACGGGAAATTGATATTATCCAAATTTAGATGCCATTACCTCTCCGCTAATGCAGACGTGTGTATGTGACTCCGGCCTCCAGCGCTGTCACAGTGTGGGTATAAGTGTATTACAGCGTGCTTGAATTATCAGCCTGTTTATTCCAAACCTTTTTCTGTTCCTATCTTTTGCCTTTCTGCATCTTCAATAAAGTCCGCTAAGGGAAAAATATGAATAAATAAAACCTTCCCATTTCAGGTAATAAAACCTAAAACTGACTACTATAACTGATCTGAAGTGCAGCATATGGAAGTACAAAATAACTTACAATTCTATTATTTTTAAGTCTGTGAAAAGCCTGAAGTCTACTTTCTGTGGTTAATAAAAACCAACTGAATAATCTGCACAAATTCCAGGTTTGTTGGGTATCATGATCAATTGGATCCAGTAATCCACTGGTAGTAGATCTTTTTTTCACTGAAAGCCAATTTGGGAAGAAATAAGTCTTTTGTGGTGGGTCCTGTCTGGGCGCGGAGGGTGGTGGTGGTGGTGGGGGTCCCGTCTGGGCGCGGAGGGTGGTGGTGGTGGGTCCCGTCTGGGCGCGGAGGGTGGTGGTGGTGGGTCCCGCCTGGGCGCGGAGGGTGGGTGGTGGTGGGTCCCGCCTGGGCGCGGAGGGTGGTGGTGGTGGGTCCCGCCTGGGCGCGGAGGGTGGTGGTGGGTGGGTCCCGCCTGGGCGCGGAGGGTGGTGGTGGTGGGTCCCGCCTGGGCGCGGAGGGTGGTGGTGGTGGGTCCCGCCTGGGCGCGGAGGGTGGTGGTGGTGGGACCCGTCTGGGCGCGGAGGGTGGTAGTGGTGGTGGTGGGACCCGTCTGGGCGCGGAGGGTGGTGGTGGTGGTGGTGGTGGTGGGACCCGTCTGGGCGCAGAGGGTGGTGGTGGTGGTGGTGGGACCCGTCTGGGCGCAGAGGGTGGTGGTGGTGGTGGTGGGACCCGTCTGGGCGCAGAGGGTGGGTGGTGGTGGTGGTGGGACCCGTCTGGGCGCAGAGGGTGGTGGTGGGACCCGTCTGGGCGCAGAGGGTGGTGGTGGGACCCGTCTGGGCGCAGAGGGTGGTGGTGGGACCCGTCTGGGCGCAGAGGGTGGTGGTGGTGGTGGTGGGGGACCCGTCTGGGCGCAGAGGGTGGTGGTGGTGGGACCCGTCTGGGCGCAGAGGGTGGTGGTGGTGGGACCCGTCTGGGCGCAGAGGGTGGTGGTGGTGGGACCCGTCTGGGCGCAGAGGGTGGTGGTGGTGGGACCCGTCTGGGCGCAGAGGGTGGTGGTGGTGGGACCCGTCTGGGCGCAGAGGGTGGTGGTGGTGGGACCCGTCTGGGCGCAGAGGGTGGTGGTGGTGGGACCCGTCTGGGCGCAGAGGGTGGTGGTGGTGGGACCCGTCTGGGCGCAGAGGGTGGTGGTGGTGGGACCCGTCTGGGCGCAGAGGGTGGTGGTGGTGGGGACCCGTCTGGGCGCAGAGGGTGGTGGTGGTGGGACCCGTCTGGGCGCAGAGGGTGGTGGTGGTGGGACCCGTCTGGGCGCAGAGGGTGGTGGTGGTGGGACCCGTCTGGGCGCAGAGGGTGGTGGTGGTGGGACCCGTCTGGGCGCAGAGGGTGGTGGTGGTGGGACCCGTCTGGGCGCAGAGGGTGGTGGTGGTGGGACCCGTCTGGGCGCAGAGGGTGGTGGTGGTGGGACCCGTCTGGGCGCAGAGGGTGGTGGTGGTGGGACCCGTCTGGGCGCAGAGGGTGGTGGTGGTGGGGACCCGTCTGGGCGCAGAGGGTGGTGGTGGTGGGACCCGTCTGGGCGCAGAGGGTGGTGGTGGTGGGACCCGTCTGGGCGCAGAGGGTGGTGGTGGTGGGACCCGTCTGGGCGCAGAGGGTGGTGGTGGTGGGACCCGTCTGGGCGCAGAGGGTGGTGGTGGTGGGACCCGTCTGGGCGCAGAGGGTGGTGGTGGTGGGACCCGTCTGGGCGCAGAGGGTGGTGGGTTCTGTCTGGGCACCGAGCATTATCTTGGATCCTGCAGGGACACGGAGATTGCCAGTGGGTATTTCTTCCCACTGGGTGGTGGTGGTTCCTGAGAGGACACTACACTTTTCATAGGACCCACCATCAAGCTCAAAGGCTACTTTCTGTGGTGGATAAAAGCCAACTGATTAATCTACACATGTTCTAGGGTTGGTGAGATCATGATCCATTGAATCCAACAATCCATTGGTAGTAGACCTTTCTCCTTATACCAGTTTGGGAAGAAATACGTTTTGGGGTTTTTTTTGGTCACCACCCCAAAGAATCAAATTTTCAGGGGGAGCCGAATTCTTGGCAGTGTAAGAATTGTAATTTTTAATATAGAATGGGATAGACAGCATGTTGGTCCTGTGTGGGGGAAATAGAATAGAAGGCGGTGGTGGGCCCTTAAGGGACATGGAGCATTGTAGTGGGTCCCTGAAGGGGTACGAAGGGTGGTGGGTCCTGAGAAGACACAGAGGATGATGTTGGGGGTCTATAAAAAGCCTAAAATCTACTTATCATGGTTAATAAAATCAAGCCGATTAATATATGTATGTTCAAGGGATGCTGGAACTCATGGACCATTGATGAGCGTAGACCCTTTCCGACAGTGAAAGCCAGTTTGGGAGTTATTTTCTTTTCCCTCACGTTTCCAGGGAAGCAACTTTTCTGAGGAGTCCAAATCTTGACAGTGTAAGGGGGCACAAGAGGGTCTAAAGTCTACTTTCTGTGGGCAGTAAAAGCCAACAAATTAATATACAAATATATTCTAGGGATGGTGTACATCGTAATCCATTGGTGTTCCCTATGCTACCTTTTAGTAGACCCTTCTTATTACCAAAATCCAGTTAGGAAAGAAGTAAGTCTTATCTGTTCACCACCCCAGCTGTCCGAACCTTGGACTTTACTTCTTTTTCCCTCATCGCATCTCCAAAGAAGCAACTTTGACGAGCCAAATTCTTGGTAGTATGAAAATTGTAAGATTTAATTTTGAATAGTAGATGGAGTAGAGTAGTTTCAGGGTGGAGGGGGTGGTGATGAGGTCTGATGGGGTGGACAGAGGGTAGCGGTGGGTCATAAGGGGGCAAGGAGAGAGGTGGGTCATGAGGGGTCATGTGTGCTGAAGCAGCCACTTGCAGGCTTCATTGGAAGCCCGTGTGACAGGGTGACATCGTAGAAGCACAATTGGAAGACAGTTGTCACCCTGTAACAGGAAGTGCCTAAACAAGGACCTTCATAGCAGGATCACCAGGTATTTTAATGAAAGCTGCAGTTTTAAAAATATATTTTGAAAGAACCTGGCAAGGCTTGTATGAAATGTAAATGATTGGGTTTTAATCTACATTTATTGTTCATTGTAATCCGATATTTGGCAACTCCAAATGACTGTACTTGGGACTTTATCATTCCATTAAAAAAAAAAAAAAAAAAAACACAAAAAAAGAACTCATCGGGATTACTTAGTATCAATTTAGGAGACGTTAATGATGATAGAACACTCTGCCTTCGTTATTATTACAGACGTGTTAATGATTTTGTACAATCTCACCGATAAATCCTTGCAGCTTGGATGCGGACCAAGAATCACAGAAATGTCATATTATTCTGCTGGTGATGAAGCCATTAGGAAATCGAATGCTGATTATTATTTTTTTTTTTTTTGTTAATTTTTTAAGTGGACCTTGCCTTCTATTCAATGTGCTCCCCCCTCTGGTTAAAAAAAAGAAAAAAAATCTTCTCAAGTATGTATTCTTAACTCACCCTGCTAGAGGGTGGCTACATTTGTTCTCCATGTTCCCTCAGCATGTAGAAACGTAGCCACTTCAGTATGTAGGAACGTAGTCACTCTCGCTTGCTCCCAAGGAGGGACTGTGGGATTTGTGCATAGAGCAGTGAACATGACTGCAGTTGACTTTCACTGCTGGTTCCGCTGGAAGTCATGAGGAAAAGGAGAGGTTCAGAAGCTCATGGAGGACGATTCAAGGAGAAAGGAAAAACACAGTAAGGGCTCTTTCAATGAATAGGGAAAAGGGGAGGTTCTGAAGCTCACAGAGGACAATTCAAGAGAGAATGAAAGATCAAAGCACAAGTTCTAAACTACGATCTTATGACAAATAGACTACAGAGCTTCTAAGCAGTGGGCATGTATGGAATATTGGTGGTGGTGGTGGTGTAGGTGGTGACGTCCTCCGGCCAACAAGATCCTGTGGAATGCGGAGTATCTCCAAATCTCATTTGCAGACACTGCAGCTCATAGCAAGATCATCTTCTCATGCGATTTGGGCTACTCGGCATTCTCCGAGATCTGTTCAGGAGGATGATCCTCATCTCAGTGCTACACGAGAATGCCAGGGAATGGCAACTATAGTCTCTAATATACTACTTTTTTTTTTTTTTTAATGTACTACATTTTTGTAGTACTTTTTTTATATTTTTATCCAGTGTTTTGGGAAATGTTGGGGGGGGTAGGGGGTGTGTGTCTTGAATAAGCATAATTTGTAATTTTTGACCTATAGTCAAATGCTGGCTTGAAGTTAGACATTTTTAGCTATTCTCCAATCAAACTTCTAAATATGCGGTTTTAAATAAAAATTTAAAGTTTTAAATATATGTGATCTGACTTATCGGCCTAAAAAATTAGTTCTGTTCATGCAGTGGTATGATCCAGGCACCCCTACCAAGTCCACAGCCTAGTCATCGACCTTCCTTTCCTTTCGCAGTTGAGCAGTACGGCTTGGCCACCTACTCACGCTGCCAGGAAAGCTTCTGAGATTTGTTTGTAAAGTGCTTATTGCTCGGTAATACAAACTTTCCAATTCCATGAACATTATTGATCTTCATGGGCATTCTAGTCCAACCTACTGCCTTGTGAAGAAGCCAACATTTTCCTAACAGTTCAGTCCTTTTTTTTTTTTTTTTTTTTTTTTTTTTTTTTTTGCGTTTGATATATACTGCAGGAAGGTCATCAAGTGGTCAGCCAAGCATGGATGGTCATCCTATCATGTTTAATGTGTTTTGATATTTACACACCCATGTACAGCAGGATGGTCATCCAATCATGGATTGCCAATCTTGGATGGTCCCCTGATGGTGGTCACCCAGTCTTGGACAGTCCTCCAATCCTGGTCCGTACTAATTGATTTAATGTAGGGCAGTTTATTAGTTTACTTCTTGAATTAACTACAGAAGGAAAAATTGGGAAGCATTTTGATAGATGGACAAATACTGCAGGAAGGTTGTCAGGTGGTCAGCCAAGCATGGATGGTCATCCAGTCCTGTTTAATGTGTTTTGATATTTGTACACCCATGTACAGCAGGGTGGTCATCCAATCATAGATGGCCGCTCTTGGACGGTCCCCCTGATGGTGGTCGGCCAGTCTTGGACGGTCCCCCTGATGGTGGTCGGCCAGTCTTGGACGGTCCCCCTGATGGTGGTCGGCCAGTCTTGGACGGTCCCCCTGATGGTCGGCCAGTACTAAATGATTTAATGTAGGGCAGTTAATTAATTTACTTAGTATCTTCTTGAATTAACTACGAAAGGAAAAATTGGGAAGCCTTTTGATAGATGGACACATAGCTTTACAATATTGTCTAACTGCAGCACAGTGGCTTAGTGGTCGTCGGTTCAAGTCCCAGCCACGGCACTACCTGCCTGAAGTTTGCATGTTCTCCCTGTGCCTGCGTGGGTTTCCTCCAGGTACTCCGGTTTCCTCCCACACTCCAAAGACATGCTGGTAGGTTAATTGGCTTCTGTCTAAAATTGGCCCTAGTATGTGTATGTATGCATGTGAGTTAGGGACCTTAGATTGTACACCCCTTGAGGGTTAGGGACCTTAGATTGTACACCCCTTGAGGGTTAGGGACTGATGTGAATGTACAATATATATGTAAAGTGCTGCGGAAATTGATGGCGTTATATAAGTACCTAATATTAATAACTGTTTAGGTTGACAAGATAACAAAAACTAACACTCATAATGCGTAACCAGCAAGGGAGGGATGTGAGGTGGGGGCTCTTCATTCTGAGTGCTCAAGAAACTAAGCCGCAGCCATACTGACATCTAAATGTGGTTTATGAAATGTTTAGTTTCCCAAGAGTTTCCTTAAATTTACCACAACACATGGGATGTCAAGCCTGTCAAAGAGCAGGTAATGATTTTGCACGGGATCCAAAACTCCAGAAATGTAAACCTGCAGCTCCTCTATTTAAATGGAGTACCCTATGTAAAACATTCATCTACTGTAATTACACACGCAGTTCATCTATTTAAAGCTAGTTGTGGAAGAGCACTTGTGTATGGTAGTTAATTACCGTATTTTTCTCTCCATAAGACACACCTAGGTTTTAGAGGAGGAAAACAATAAAAAAAACAATATAAAATATTCTGAACCAATGGACTGCAGACACAGTACGGGAGATGACCAGGGACTGCGGACACAGTACAGGGGATGACCAGAAACTGCGGACATACTACAGGAGATGACCAGAGACTGCAGACATAGTACGGGAGATGACCAGAGACTGCGGACGCAGTACGGGGGATGACCAGAGACTGCGGACGCAGTACGGGGGATGACCAGAGACTGCGGACGCAGTACGGGGGATGACCAGAGACTGCGGACGCAGTACGGGGGATGACCAGAGACTGCGGACGCAGTACGGGGGATGACCAGAGACTGCGGACGCAGTACGGGGGATGACCAGAGACTGCGGACGCAGTACGGGGGATGACCAGAGACTGCGGACGCAGTACGGGAGATGACCAGAGACTGCGGACGCAGTACGGGAGATGACCAGGGACTGCGGACGCAGTACGGGAGATGACCAGGGACTGCGGACGCAGTACGGGAGATGACCAGGGACTGCGGACGCAGTACGGGGGATGACCAGGGACTGCGGACGCAGTACGGGGGATGACCAGGGACTGCGGACGCAGTACGGGGGATGACCAGGGACTGCGGACGCAGTACGGGGGATGACCAGGGACTGCGGACGCAGTACGGGAGATGACCAGGGACTGCAGACTTTTGGGGAGAGGGTACCCAAATTTGACAGGTACCCGCTCCCACTTCCGCAGAGTTGTCCTTCCTTCCTGTAGTCTTCTGGGACACATGACGGGTCCCAGAAGACTACGGGGCCAGTCACAAAGCGCAGCGCTTCTCGTGCATGTGCAGTGGGCACCCGGCTGGGAAGCTGCAAGCTGTCATAGCTGGGTGCCCACACTAAAGATGCTGGCGCCAGGGAGAGAAGACGCCGGTGAAATCAGTGGTGGTGAGGACAACGCTGGACCAAAGAACAGGTAGGACCGAGGAGCAAGTTCTGCTGCACAGATGAGCCAAGCGGCTGGCCCGGTATTCTATCATGGCGGGGATGGGGGGAATACCCAGCCGGCCGCTCTATATTCGCTCCATAAGACGCACATTCATTTTCCTCCATTTTTTGGGGGGAAAAAGTGCATCTTATGGAGCGAAAAATGCGGTAGTTACAAATGCATTCTAGAGCATTCATTCTTTGCAGCGAGTGAAATTTACAAGGAATAGGTATAACTTAATGATTCCTAGGCTGGGACTTGGGTTTCGGATTTTGGGTTTTAATGCCTGCTACTAGGTTTGTATTCTAATATATCACTAGATTGTAAGCTCCCAGGATCAGGCCCTCCTATCCCTCTTGTATTGAACTGTATTGTTGCTGTACTGTCTCCCGTTATATTGTAAAGCGCTGAGCAAACTGTTGGCGCCATAAATCCTGTATAATTATAATAATAATTTGGTGGGGATAGGTTGATGAGATTGCCCTCTTCCAAATGACTTTTTTTTTTTTTCTTTCTTTCTTGCAGATCGCCATCATGGTACTCCCATGCTGCTGGAAGGCGTCAGATGTATTGGGGCGGAGCCAGAGTACGATTCCGAGCAGAGTGATTGGCACGGATTTGACTGAGTCTCTGATGAACTTTCCTCTCTTTTTATTGTGCTGCTCTGCTTCTAAAAACAACCAAACCTCTAAAATAGCCATGAGACTAGTAGAGATTAGATGGGAGCCTTTATCTCAATGGGTTTGCTTCAGAATGTCCATGGCGGGAGACTTTGCTCACTTGAAACGATGGAAGGAGGTGAATGGGTTATGTACAGGGATTTGGCGCGCAATCTGTGGCTTTTTGTACCCCCTTGTGTGTCCGGTGTCTGGCCGTACAGGTGTCCGTCATGTCCTAGCATCCAGTCAGCTTCTTTTTGATGCTGGTTTGAGCTTTAAAGGGAGAAGCTGATTGGTAGCACACTCCATACCAGACACTTCATACACAAGGCCTGAGTGTTTGGCCCTTCAAAACAGTCGCTGCACTTCATGTGATCGTCCAATAAAGTTTGTTCAACTTGCAACTGTATCCACAGCCCGCCACGCGTAGTATGATATCCCAGCTAAATATTCTGTGTAGTACATGGCAGATGCTAGCTAAAGACCTGACCTGAGGTACAATGTGAAAATATTCCTGCCATTGTTGGGGTGGCCTTATATCACCCAGTAGATGGAAGAGATGTGGCGGAGGTGAACATTGAGACACGTAGGCTTCATACACATGGCATGTGAGTTTATCTAGGATCTTGCTGGTAGTAATATCCTGCGTAAAAAGTGGTCTGTAGTGCATCTCGACTTATACGGACATACAAGTGCATATGAGTTGAGAAGCGTGTTATGTATATTGCCGCTGCCTAGACATTGTTTACATGTACCCATGAACCTGAATGAGTCTTTTTTTTTTTTTACTGGGTGGCGACAGACGCAGAGATGAACTCTGCCTTCAGTTAGTCTAAATGTCTGATGGTCAGAGTGATTTTCAGCGCCTCCATTGCCTAATAAATGGTTCATTCAGGGCCCAGGGGGAGATGTAAACATAAACGTGCAAGCTGCGGCAGCACAGAAGGAGAATGACGTCCTGATTCTGAAGTCCAAGGTCATTTTTGCACCACTGCCACGATCTAGTGAATGGCACATTCAGGTCTGTGGAAGATGTAAATGTAAACAATGCGTAGGCAGCATCAGCAGCATAGATGTAGAATGACTGTCATTCTGAAGACCAAGGCAATTTTGCATCACCACCTCTGCCTTGTGGATGGCTCATTCATGGCCCAGGGAGAGATGTAAACCTAAACCATGTGTAGGCAGCGGCAAAAGTGCAGATGCAGGATGATTTTGTCATTCAGAAGACCAAGGCAATTTTGCATCACCACCTCTACCTTGTGGATGGCTCATTCATGACCCAGGGAGAGATGTAAACATAAACGTGCAGGCTGCAGCAGCGCAGAAGGAGAATGACGTCCTGATTTTGAAGTCCGAGGTCATTTTGCACCGCTGTTTAGTGAATGGCACTTTCAGGACTGGGGAAGATGTAAACATAAACAATGCATAGGCAGCGGCGGCAGGGCAGATGCAGAATGACTGTCATTCTGAAGACCAAGGCAATTTTGCATCACCACCGCTGCCTTGTGGATGGTTCATTCATGGCCCAGGGAGAAATGTAAACCTAAACCATGTGTAGGCAGCGGCGGCACCACAGGTTCAGAATGATGTCATTCCAAAGGACAAGGTAATTTTGCACCACCGTCTGCCTAGTGAATGGCTTATTCAGATCTGGAGGATATGTAAACATAAACAATGTATAGGCAGCAGTGCAGAATGACCTCATCATTCCCAAATCTGGGGGGGTTCCATTTGTACCACTGTTGCCTACACATTGTGTCCCTCTGGTCCGGAATGAGTCATTTAGTAGGCAGAATGAACTTGAATGAGCCTCGATTCGTTCACAATGACTGAAGGCCTAGGTCTATTTGCTCCACTGCCTAGTGAATGACTCAATCAGGACCAGTGGGAGATGAAAACATAACATGTAGGCAGCAGTGAAGGTGCAGAATGACCTCATTGTCCGTAGGCCAAGGTCATTTGCACCACTGCTGCTGGCCTGGATGAGTCATTTACTATACAAACAGTTGGCAGTGCAGGAGCAGAATGACTGAAGGCCAAGGTCACCATATGTAGGTGGTGGCAAAGATGCCGAATGACCTCGTTCTTCAGAATAAATGGAGGCCAAGGTCATTCTGCGCTTGTTCTGCCTACACGTTTACACCTTCCCTGGCTAGGCAGCGAAAGCGGCACATATGTCCATTAACATGTAACACATGGAAACGTTTGCACAATTGTTTACATGCATACCACGGAAAAATAGGGTCAAATTTGAACTGCAAGCACAGAGTTTTCTTGTTTTGATTTGCTCATCTAAATGCTACAGACAAAACATAGCTGAATGGGCCCATAGATATAATTCTGCCGCATTCAGATCCCAATGGTAATGTACGGATCTGAACACTATGTATTCTATGCCCATGTGTCTAAGCCCTTTGGCTGCATTGCAGTTGACTAAACAGCAGTAAGGACTCCTACTGAATTGTGGCAAAGATGGAGTCACGGCAGCGAGTGATTATAGCAAGGCCGGATAGACTTCTCACCAGTCTTTAGGATATGACCGTCGATTTCCAAATGGAAGCTTGTAGTTCTTTCATTGGCTGCAAACGCTTATTGATTTTCTTTAAACTCTGCTCTGCCTCATTATTGGTTGGCTAACACAAAAAACATCCAACCCATCAAGTCTGGAGGACCATGGCAGTAGTGAAGGAATCGTGTGCTCCACGGGATGCCCGTACTACCTAGAACATCGGCTTCTTTTGTTTTTTTGGTGGTCTATGGTTTTGCAGTATCAGCCGCCTTGGGATCCTTGCCACAATGGCAGAACTGCTTCTAGGGTTGGAATGACTTGCTGCTTCATAAAATGGTACATGTATGATGAGTACAATCAAAGCAGAACTCTGGACAGTGGGGAAAAAAAAAATAAATTACCCATAAAACTTTTCTCTTAACAGAATGGGTTGCTGTATTTCCAACACCCATTGGGACTTGCCATAACTTCCAACTTGTTCTACAAATTTTAGCCACCTGGCTATCATGCCTCTGTGGCTTCAGCACTTTTGAGTAACTGGCCTGGAAGATGTGATAGCCAGGTGTTCATATCCTTTGTTTCTGGGTGAGTGGCTCAAACCCAAGGTATCCATGGAATGAGGGGAGCTCTATAAAGTCTGGACCTTCTCTGAAAGCACTTGAGGTGTTGGAGGACACACCACCATAGATGCTCATCAAGCTGAATAGTTGTCTGTGGTACAATCAGCTCTACCAACAAGTTCATCTCAGGTGACTTCAGATGAGGATGGACTTCAGACAGCCCTTTGTTCTCCCCGTGGGATATAATTGGATGAGTGTTGTAAATTGTGGTCTTGATTCTTCACTGGAGAACCTCTTTACTTCCTATTCTGAACATCTTAAGTGTGAACTTGGTGACACTTAAAATCCTAAAATAAAAAAAAATTGTAATTTTTAACTCAAACTCTCGCAGTCTGTTGCATTGTATATTTTTGCTATTGTTTTTTTTTTTTTTTTCCTGAGATTAAAATAAACTGATGTTATATTGCACTGTAAGACCATAGACTGTCTTGAAAAGTTTCTTGGGGAGCAGGCTGAGTGCGTAGAGTTGGCCATGTAACTGCTTAAAAAAACGTTGGCTTTGTGTTTGGGCTTTAATTTGTTTGTTGCTTAACTATGCCCACCCCCCCACCATACCAGGCCACATGCCCTCAATATGAGAGGGGCCCCACCCCCAAAGCACCTTATCCCCATGTTGATGAGGGCAAGGGCCTTGCCCGCAGAACCTTGACCTCCTGTTCATGGGGGACTGCGGGTGGTGGGGCATATCAGAATCTGGAAGCCTCCTTTAACAAGGGGTCCCCAGATCCCACCCCACATGTAATGAGTTCTAATTTACAAAAACAAATGTCCCTCCTGCTCTGCTGACCTGCTTTTTAAAAAAAAAAAAAAAAAAAAAAAAGAGGCTGCACCCGATGCTTCCACTAACTGACAGCTCCACTTTGTAGATGCTGCTAAATAATGTAATGGGGCCACCTGATGACATCACCGGGTGATATAATTGACTCAGAGAACCCCACTGACAGTAGATGGGTCATGGTTGTTAAGAATGTGGCGGCCGCCCCCACTCGACAACCAGATAAAATCAAATTCCTTTCTTAACTGTCGCATGCCTGGACCACATTGTAATTACCACATTTATTTATTTTGTTTTGTGAATTGAATGTAATGCTATTGTTTATGCGGCATTTACCAAGCGGTTTTTTTTTTTTTCTTTTTTTTTTGTGGTAAATACCACTTCAAGTGATAGAAAATAGACATTTTTATAGGATCTCAAACAGTATTTGGGAAAACACCTAAATACCTCATTCGATGTGCTTTTGTGAATGGAGCCCATTATCTTTTTTGCTCCATTATCTAACCAGATGAATACTTGCCTCATTCAGACAGCTGCAGTTCTGCTCTTTGTTTACATGCAGCTTTGCAAGTCTTCCACTCTCCTGACTATGCCTCATAGACTTTTGTTTTGTTTTTTTGTGTGTCCAGAGGCTGGAAACAGACCCATAGAAGTCTATAGGGACCTGTTACTTGCTATTTGTATTGAAAAATTTGTAATAAAAAAATGTTATATTTAAAAGTCTATAGGGTTGTCAGGGGCAGGTGCGGTCAGGACTGTGAAGGTGTGTGGTGCTCAATGTAAACAAACAGCAAAACCGTGGACATCAGATTGAGATGGGTAAACATATAGGGAGGGTGGGTTAGATGAGGTCAGGTTGGGGGAAGGGGGCAACGAGAATAATCCAAGACTACCCTGGCTGCACGATTATACTGAAGAGTATGCAGTGTTGTCACACTTTTTAAATAAAGTAGAAAAATAACATCTTTGAACAGGATCATAAGAAAAACCATTACAGGGGTACTAGATGCAACAAAAATTGCTGTTAAATATTATGTAAACCCATGAACTTATATTTGCA